TACGGCATAGCAAATTTTATAAGTAAACCAACCTGGTTACCGAAGCGGTAGATACAAAAACACGAGTAGGTAGCGAGCTCGGCTCGTCAAACACCTACATATATTAAAATAATCCTATAAATAACTATTCAACACATGACCAACTAATCATAACAATCACTTAATCCAACTAATCTCACATAAGCATTTAATCAAAGAAATCCCATTTCCTAAAACACTACTTACGTTTTTCAAAACTTAACCCGGGCAGCGTTTTTAAAACTGACATAAATCTCAGAACACAACTCCTATGAATATGATTCAAGTTGAATTAGAATACTAAGACATGCATCTACAATTCTTATGAAGACTCCAAAAGCATATAAGGCAATTTAACAGGTGATAAATTAGCAAACACTCAAAATAGAGTTACAACCCAAAACCGAGAATATGAAACTAACCAGACTTCAGTATATGTTAGCTAACCAGAGCTACAAATATGATTTTAATGAGATTCAAAAACCACGTGATAGCTAACTCAAATGTCTACAACTTTGTTTAATACTACATTGGAAAATAATCACTTTATAAATGAGTTTGTATACAAAATATTCGATTCATAAAGTTTACCCGAGACTAAAGTATGATATAAACAGCACCTCAGTATTTGTCATCTAACTCATGCTACAGACCTCCGAACGACATGATTCTTGAATGCTTAGAAGGCTAAGAAATAAGACTATAACTTTCATTTTAGATCATAAAAGCAGACAAGGTCAGTTAGATAGTGTAAAAGTGGTTAACATTTCGAATCTGTTTTCTGTCAAAGTGTAAAACCCAACTTCATGTATATCTATAATCATATGAACACAACTCGAGCTATAGATATCACCTCAGCATGAATCCTATCTCATTAGAAATCTAATCAACAGACCTATAACTTTCATGAAGACTACAAATTCACTACATCACATTATGACACCATAAACAGGCCAAATATTATATAAAATCATGCTGCCGGTTCCAGAAAAACTGCTTGTACAATAAATTTGTAAAAATCATAACTCATTCAATATTAATAGGATTATCGAAATTTTAAAGCCTAGAGAAAGATAACAAGACGAACTTAATTCATATACAAAACACATTTTCAGAAAACAATTCTTTATTGTCATAACAGAGGCACCTTACCTCCTTCAAGAAAATGAAAATGATTAGGAGAAATGAAAGAA